CCTCTACTCTTCTGCTGTGACTGATCTAGGACACTCTGGAGCCTTGGTTGCTACTATGGGGCCTACAACTCATTAAAAAACAAAAGCTGAAAAAGGAGACAGAATCACAGATAGATCAGATTACTAAAATGGTGCAAGCTCAAAACTCTGATCTCAGAATTGCTTGGTGATCAGAAAGAAGGTGAATGACCACAGGGTCCTGGAGTAGGACACATTCATGGACTGGGGGCCTCAAACTCCTCAGCCTGACCACCTCACATGTCCCACTCAGATGACAGGTCATGTCTTCCAGGATTCTCTCCCAACCATGGCCAACCTATGTTGGGTTAAGTACCTTTATGGATAAGCTGTGTACTTTTGTCTTTGCACTTGTCAATACTATAATTTTCTATGTGTCTTTATGTTTTATGCAAAATATTGTGAGCACTAAGGTATAAGCAGCAGAAATTGTGTCTTATTCAATCTTGGACTCCCAGTACTATTACAGGGCTTGGTACACATTGGGGTCAAATAAATATTATCAAACAAGTGAATATTAGATGTAATGCCTGAAAGGACTTTAGAGAATCTTCCTTATGACTAGCAGGTCACATGATATTAGTGGCAGAAGCAGAAGTAGGTCTTAATTATCTATTCAATGAATAATTGTACTACATACCAGACACTGTACAAAATGCTTAGAATGAAGAGATGAGCTGTTCATAACCTTGATCTGAATGAATATTCAGTCTAGTGTAACAGACAAGACTTGCTTCCAGATGATCATAACACAGTAGAACTGACACTGGAATGAAAGTATTCTTTTTAGAATGAAACATGGAGTGTGTGTGACTCACGTGATTGATGAAAATGTAACAGAAAGATCAACAGACAAACTATCTTATGGGTGAAGCTGTGTTTCAAAAAATAAGACATGGTTTCCTACACATTCAAGAGAGAAGGCTATCTATGCCAAAGGCACTTCATTTTCCACATCTCATCTTTCCACTGTATTAGCCCTGCCAAAACCAACAATTGGAATTACCTACAGCAATTGGAATTACAGGTGACAGAGCCTTGACTATATAAATTGTGGACTCCATTTATGTCTGGATACGCCATGACAATTTTTCCCAATGTGTGTGATTGCTGAATAATTTTGTAAACACCATGTATCTTTGCCAATGAATAACAAAGGAACTGTCTAAAAATGTTTAAAAGACATTGACATTACAAGGTTTTTTTAGTTCATGTCAGTAGACTTGTATATATAGGAAACGAGAAAGATGAAGACCCTTTCCAAAATGTTAATGCTAGAGGGGCACGTAAGAAGAGGTAAGAGATCTTCAAAATGTTAGCTGGGCAACAGTGTACACCAACTTCAGAGTAAATTGCAAAGAGGTGTCTTATGTTCTTTTTGGAGCCTAAAATGCAGCCCTCAAATCCCCCTGAACTTTGGCATCCTGTCGTCAGTCTTTTCTATTCCCCTCATCCCTTTGACTGCTCTTTGTTCCCAAGTCTTCACTCCATCTATGTATCTTCTATGCACTATATCTTTGTATCAGCCGTGTTGTGCAGCTAGAATTCCTAGGCACATTCCTAAATACCCAGTTAATCTCTGCTTAGATTATTACAGTGCTTGAACAAAGTATATCCAAAGCAAAACCTGTCTCCCTCCCTCATAATCTTGCTCTTCTTCTGGGAAACCAAAACTCTACGCCAACAGCTTCTATTCTGTCTTCCAGAGTCTGAAATTTGGAGTCATCCAAAATACTCCCATATTTTTCCACCCTCACCAAATAGTATCAATCCATTCCATATTAATATAAAGTAATATCAATAATATCAATACTGTGAGAAAGAGAACTTTCTAATATACTAACAGAATTAGTTCAATCTCTCCTTATTTAATTTATCTTACACCCATAAGTTATGAAATATGTTAATTACCAACTGTGTTTTTCCAGTGACAATCAGTTTACTACATGATTAACAAATAATGGAAAATGTTATCTGAAAACTGAACTTATTGGACAAAATTGTTCACAACACAGAAGGCAACGATGGAGATTAATTAAGTGACTTTGGGCATGAAGAGGCACAGGTCTCTAGCTGACAAATGAATGGTTGGAGCAGGAGGCAAGAAAGAGAGGTACAAGCAAGGACAAAATTTTGTCCATCAGCAACTATATTCCTGAGGATAGTCATTTAGTTCAAAATCCCTAATCTAATGTCAGTGGGTAAGCAGAAGCTCATAAGAGCAGTCTAAAAAGGGGAGGGGAGAAGGAAGCAAGTGGTTCTGTTATTTTAAAATAACTTGAGTACCAAGTACAGCTGTCTCTCAGTATCCATGAGGGATTGGTTCCAGGACGTCCATAGACACCAAAATCCACAGATGCTCAAGGTCATTATATAAAGTGGTGTGGTATTTGCATATTACCTACACACATTCTCCCATATAATTTAGATCATCTCTAGATTATTTAGGATACTTAATGCAATACCTATACATCACCATATTTGTGTGAATTCAACACAGCACTCAGCACACAGAAAATTCAGGCTTTGCTTTTTAGGAACTTCGTGGAATTTTCTCTTTTCTGAATATGTCTGATCCATAGTTGTTTAAGTCCAGAGGTGCAGGACCCACAGATACAGGGGCCCAGCTATACGGTTAATAGACCTGTGAACTTCCCCCATTCTAGAGACAGTAGCAAGATGATGGTTAATCCTTCTACACACTTCTCGCCTCTCTCTGATGTAAACTTTTTGGAAATCTTTTGTTTTTATCAGTCAATTTGATTCAAGACTAAAATAACTTAAGTCCTCTGGAAACAGGAGCAACTTGAAGAAGATGATGAATTGGGTTCTGCCTGGCAGGAATTTTATTCGTGGATCTTTGATAGATTCCCAATGAGCCTGAAAATCAGATCCAGAACATTTTCACCCAGCCAGCTTTCAGGGTTTAGAGTGAAAACATGGATAGGGGGATAGATGGATGGATGGATGGATGGATGGATGGATGGATGGATGGATGGATGGATGGAGACATAGGCAGATATTAAATACTGATGAATATTGAACTGATAGAATAAATAGGATATTCTAAGTACAAGAAAATTCAAAGAGTATTCATTGGTTCAAGTGCAGAGGAAGTCATTTACTGAGCATGAAACTGAAGCCCAGAACAGATAACTGACTTTACAACAACTATTCCATGCCTAGATTGTAGCAAAGACAGAATGCTTCAGGTTCCAGAAGTGTTCTTCAATCCTTTTTCTGCCTTTTCTGACTTCATTCCTTAGTTTACGATGTAAGTTCTGGTTCCTCAGAATCATCAAATAGAGACTCATAGACCATTATTCTTTTCTTTTCTTTTTTTTTTGAGTTGGAGCCTCACTCTGTCGCCCAGACTGGAGTGCAGTGGCATGCTCCTAGCCACCGCAGCCTCGACCTGCTGGGCTCTGGCGATCCTTCCGCCTCAGCCTTCCAAATAGCTGGAACTACAGGTGTGCGCCACCACGCCCGGCTAATTTTTTGATTTATTGTAGAGATGAGGTCTCGCCAAGTTTCCCAGGCTGGTCTTGAACCCGCGGGCTCAGGAAATCCACTCACCTCAGCCTCCCAAAGCGCGGGATTACAGGCTGAGCCACCGAGCCCGGCTAGAGACCATTATTCTAGCAATATTGCAAGTGTATGTGGCTGGGACACATCTCTAGTGTTATGTTTTCTTCTCTCCCACAGCCCTTTTGATCCAGAGATTAAAGGAATAATTCATACAATAATTTGAGAATACAGCATATATCCTGGTAGAGAATTGCCTGAAACAAACGAAAAATCTAAGGCATAGTATTATATGACAGAATCCTGAAAATGTCATTTTGGAGAGAAATCAGTCCTATGGCTGATAAGTAGTATCTTCTTTCAGTCCTGTTGATGTGTCTTTGTAAAATGTAAATACAAAACTTTGAAGATTAAAACTAAAATCTCACTCTGCGACTGTGAGGCACAGGTTTCATGGTTCCACCAGTCGCAGCGCCAGCCTCGGGAATGGCTAGGAAATGTCTTTTTTTTGTATATATAATTTTGACTGAACCTCTTCCCCAGGCTGCACAGGCACTAAATCTGCTTTCTATGCAAGATTCAGCTGTTTGGGTGACGCAGCTAATACTCTTATTCATCCAAGTCTCCTCTTTCCCAGTCAAACACCTCAGTGCCTCACATGACACTATTTCTAGCACCTTCCCTGCATGGTCTCTCTCCTAGGACTTACATCCTGGGTGGATTGATAGGGCAGATACATATAACTATTCTTAATTTGTGTCTGGGAAAAGACTTTTCATAAACAGCCTCAGGGAGTACTGACCTTCTGCCCTGCCTTTGTACCAGGAAGGCTTCTGCAGTTAGTTATAGTTTTAGTTCCAGTGATGGTAGAGGGCAATGGAAAGTGTTCAGTCACGGAGAGTGAAGAAGGCATTGAGTGTTCATGAGTCTTTCTTTTCTGGGTGCTTAACTTAGTCACTCAGGCTTTTGCTGTTTAACTAAGAAAGAGCCCTATACAAAAAGTTTGTTTCTATGAACATTTTCCATGTCATTGTTGGTGGTGCTATTCCCTTGGTCCCAAGAAAGTGCTCCTAATATAAGTGCAGATTACTTATCTACCTAAACCTGACTTGTACTTCACATATAATAAAATAAAGTTAAATAAATAAATAAAACATCAAACTATAATAATGTTTTTTGGATCTGACCTAGTTTGTCATTCAGACCAAAAGTCATATGTGCCCTGTGCCATAATAGCATAGCAATGCTCTTAAGAAAATTTAACAGGGGCTTCCGGCGGCAGTGGTGGCAGTGGCCACGGGTGAGGGCCGGGCAGGGGCGGAGGGCGGCCGCAGTGGCATGGAGTCTCACTGTTGCCCAGGCTGGAGTGCAGTGGCATGCTCATGGCCACTGCAGCCTCGACCTGCTGTGCTCAGGTGATCCTTCTGCCTCAGCCTTCCAAGTAGCTGGAACTACAGATACCAAGTTGTACTAGTACAACCATATAAGTAATTAATACCTGAAGTCTCAATGTCTCATGGACATTAACAGTGATGACATAAATACAGATGCTTGGGAGTCAAATACTAGGCGAAATGCTTTTAAAAAGTGCAATTGTATGTTGGTTTTTAAGAAACACTACAGGATCCTGTCTATCTTAATGAGGCCGAGCTCAGCTAAAGGAATTTAGGAGGTTCTAGTATTCTCCATGACTGAAGCTGAGAGTCTGAAATCCTGATGTGGTAAGCTCTATTCTAGATCATAGCTCCAACTCCTTCAGGATATAAAGAAAAGAGATTATATTTCCACAATGATAGATCTTTGGTTGTACAGGTTTCCCAACGAGAGGATCACGATGACCGTGTTGTAGGGACTTGCCATAGTATGGCTGCTTCCCGATCTACTCATGTTACAAGATCAACAGTGGGGTTAAACGGCCTGGATGAATCTTTTTGTGGTAGAACTTTAAGGAATCGTAGCATTGCTCACCCTGAAGAAATCTCTTCTCATTCTCAAGTACGATCCAGGTCACCAAAGAAGAGACCAGAGCCAGTGCAAATTCCAAAAGGAAGTAATAATGGAAGAACCACTGATTTAAAACAGCAAAGCACTCGAAAGTCGTGGGTAAGCCCTAGGAAAAGAAGACTTTCTTCTTCAGAAAAGGACAACATAGAAAGGCAGACTGTAGAAAATTGTGAGAGAAGGCAGACAGAACCTATTTCACCAGTTTTGAAAAGAATTAAGCATTGTCTTAGATCTGAAGCACGAAACAGCTCAGAAGAAGATTCACCTATCAAATCAGACAAGGAGTCAGTAGAACAGAGGAGTACAGTAGTGGACAATGATGCAGATTTCCACGGGACTAAACGAGCTTGTCGATGTCTTATACTGGATGATTGTGAGAAAAGGGAAGTTAAAAAGGTGAATGTTGCCGGGCTCGATGGCTCAGCCTGTAATCCCGCGCCTTTGGGAGGCTGAGGTGAGTGGATTGCCTGAGCCGCGGGTTCGAAACCCGCCTGGGCAACTTGGCTAGACCTCATCTCTATAATAAAAAATTAGCCGGGCGTGATAGCGTGCACCTGTAGTTCTAGCTACTTAGAAGGCTGAGGCAGAAGGATCGCCGGAGCCCAGCAGGTTGAGGCTGCGGTGGCTGGGAGCGGCCACTGCACTCCAGTCTGGGCAACAGAATGAGACTCCAACTCAAAAAAAATAAAAAGGTGAATGTCAGTGGGGAAGGGCCACTTACTTCTGCAGTAGTTGAAGAAATCATGGGCTATTTGGCTGTCAATGGTGTTGATGACAGCAATTCAGCTGTGATAAACTGCGATGACTGTCAGCCAGATGGGAACACCAAACAGAATAGCACGGGTTCCTATGAGTGGCAGGAGAAATCAGCAGCTGAAAATGGGGATTCGGATACCCAGCCTTCAAGGTTCCTTGGTAGTAGAAAGGAGGACAGCTGTATAGATCATAACGTGCCTTGCACACATTCAGAAGTACAGGGCAAGTTGGAGGACCACAAAGTTGTAACTGCCTGCCTGTCTGTGGGACAAGTTGCTCAACTGACGGCTGAGCCAGCTTCAGGCTCCTTTTCTGAAATTCAGTCATCTTTAAGAGATTCTGAGGAGGAAGTCGCTGTGGTGGGAGATACCAATGCCTCAAAATAGCAGTGTCATGAAAACACCAACAACGACCTGGACACGAGTCCGGAGAGTGTGCCGGTGTCTGGAGGACCAGAACTATTTTCTGTTCTAGACTGCATTTCAGCTCAAATGATGTCTTTATCAGAACCTCCAGAACATCGTTATACCCTGAGGACCTTGCCACGAAGGGCAGCCCCTGCCAGAGGCAGTCCCACTAAAAACAGTTCTCCTTGCAGAGAAAACGGACAATTTGAGGTGAATAACCTCAGTTCCAATGAAGCAAATGCAGCCATTAGTGATAACGCAAGTGAGTCTCCCACAAATCCTGATGAGATTTCTCCAAATGACAAAGGGATGTGTTGTCACTCTCAGAATTATGGAAGTGAATGGCTAAGGAAACCATCCTCAGAGGCAAGCCTCAATACTGGACATTTGCCATCTGCCAAAGAAAGTGCCAATCAGCACATTTACAGAAGAGGAAGACGATGACCCTGATGTTTATTACTTTGAGTCAGATCATGTGGCACTGAAACACAGCAAAGATTATCAGAGACTGTTGCAGACGATTGCTGTCCTCAAAGCGCAGCGGTCCCAGGCAGTCCAAGATCTCAAGAATTTAGGCGGACACCAGAGAGAAGCACTGAAAAATCCCATTGGATTTGTGGAAAAACTCCAGAAGAAAGCTGATATAGGGCTTCCATATCCACAGAGAGTTGTTCAGTTGCCTGAGATTGTATGGGACCAATATACTCATAGCCTTGGGAACTTTGAAAGAGAAGCTAAAAATTGTAAAAGACACACTAAGAGAGTTAAGCTAGTTTTTGATAAAGGTTTACCTGCTAGACCAAAAAGCCCTTTAGACCCTAGGAAGGATGGTGAGGCCCTCTCGTACTTAGTACTGCCCCTGAGTGACAGTCCAGAAGGGCAAGCAGTCGGCCTCAGAGGATAAGAGGGCGCCTGTGTGATGACACCAAACCCGAAACATTTAACCAGCTGTGGACTGTCGAAGAGCAGAAAAAGCTTGAGCAGCTCCTCCTGAAATATCCTCCTGAAGAAGTAGAGTCTCGGCACTAGCAGAAGATAGCAGATGAGCTGGGGAACAGGAGAGCAAAACAGGTTGCCAGCCGAGTACAGACGTACTTCATAAAGCTAACGAAAGCCGGTATTCCAGTCCCAAGCAGGACCCCAAACCTGTATATATACTCCAAAAAGTCTTCAACAAGCAGACTACAGCACCCTCTTAATAAGCATCTCTTTAAACCTTCCACTTTCATGACTTCTCATGAACCACCAGTGTATATGGAGGAAGATGATGACCGGTCCTGCTTTCACAGCCGCATGAACACTGCTGGCGAAGAGGCGTCGGATGAAGAAAGTATTCCTATCATGTGTAGGAACTTGCCTGAATATAAAGAACTGTTACAGTTTAAAAAGCTAAGAAGAAGAAGCTTCAGAAAATACATACTGAGGGTAGATTTGTGCAGCATGTGGGCTTCAAGTGTGATAACTGTGGCATAGAACATATCCAGGGCGTTCGGTGTCACCGCCTGGATTGTCCTCCAGAGATGTCCTCAGATTTCTGTGATTCTTTTTCAGACTGTCTACATGAAACAGATATTCACAAGGAAGATCACCAACTAGAACTTGTTTATAGGTCAGAGACATTCTTAGACAGAGATTACTGTGTGTCCCAGGGCACCAGTTATAATTACCTTGACCCAAACTACTTTCCAGCAAACAGATGACATGGAAGAGAACATCATTTGCTAGTCCCTCCAACACATAGCAATGGTATCATTGTTAATTATGTGCACAGTTTGGAAAGATTCTCTGCTTTCCCTGAAGTGACACTCACAGCATGAGCGCTTCCTGAGTGTTCTCGTCAAGTCCAGCTCTGCACCATCGTGGCCCCAGATGACTGTTCAGCAGCTGAACAGTCAACTGTGAGCAAAGAGTTTCCCTGGTGAATCCTCCACCACCACCTAGGTGGTGACCAAACTTGGGTGAGACGGAGCAAGAGCATCCATTAGCGCATGAGTGAATTCCAAAGGTTTCAAAGAACTCGGTCATGAACATGATAACGAGAAGACAAAGTATTTGTATTAAAACAGTTCAGTAGCTTTCAGTTTTGTGGAAATAGTTTTCAGCACAGAAACTGACTTCTTTAGACAAAGTTTTAACCAGTGACGGTGTTTGCTTCTAGGATATTCACTTTCCAAGAACTCACTGTCCCAGTGGTGGTCGTGGATGACCTTTAGTAAATTGGAGCTGCTTAACCATATTGACCCCTGACTTCTTTTAACCACAATGAACTGTCCTTATTACCAACAGTGAAGTACTACAGGGGGCAGCTGTGGTTTGCTTCCTTAACCAGCTCATGGTGTGTGAATGTTATAAAATGTCACTCAGATATATTTTTTAAATGTAAAGTTCTATAAGATGATCATGTGATGTGTATAAACTATGGTGAAAAGTGCCAGTGGTAGTCACTATGTAAAGTCTCTAACCCACAATATTAATTCCTTTAAAATACACAACCTTAAACCGGGCTTGGTGGCTCAGACTATAATCCCGCGCCTTGGGAGGCTGAGGTGAGTGGATTGTCTGAGCCCGCGGGTTAGAGACCCACCTGGGCAACTTGGTGAGACCTCATCTCTACAATAAATCAAAAAATTAGTCAGGTGTGGTAGCACGCACCTGTAGTTCCAGCTACTTGGAAGGCTGAGGCGGAAGGATCACTGGAGCTCAGCAGCTTGAGGCTGCGGTGGCCAGGAGCGGCCACTGCACTCCAGCCTGGACAACAGAGTGAGACTCCAACTCAAAAACATAAATAAATAAATAAATAAATAAAATACACAGCCTTCTGCCTCTGTATTTGGAGTTGTCTGTACAACTCATCAAAGAAAACTACCTAATATAAAAATCATATATATGGTAAGAATTGTCCTCTTTTGTAGTCTGCACAAGATCCATAAAAGATTGTATTTTTATTACTATTTAAACAAGTGATTAAACTTAGTCTGCGCAGTGAGCAAAAGTTCACATGCATTCTTTTATACTGCTGGGTTTTGTTGTGCATCATTTAAAACATTTTGTATGTTTCTTCTTATCTGTGTATACAGTATGTTCTTGAACAATGGTCATTTGTCAGGAGAACTGTGAGAAATAAACTATGTGGATACTATCTGTTTATATTTTTTAAAAAAGAAAATTTAACAAAAAATACAACCTATTTAATCATAGGTTTGTTAATGATGAAATTTCAGCTGTTTTCATACATTAGTCTGATATTACCTAGCCCATGTTTTACAGAATACTAGAATCTGAGAACAAATGATCCCATGATCTCATGAGTAGAGGAAATGCCACATGCTAAATCACCATCTTGGAACCCTGAGTAGTGTCTCGGTAAGAGAAAAATCTGTAATACTTCAGCAAGTAATAGTATGAGTAGAGAAGAAAGCTTTATCTGACATAGTTATTAACATTCACTCAAAAGAGTTGACTCTTCCACCAATTGGTGAAGCGTCATCAGTGCTGCTGGAAGCATTTGGCTTCGCAGAAGGACCTATGAGACCAAAGGACTCCATGCCATGCCTGGGTTGCCTTGCTCTAGCTTTTATCTACTTTCAGCAAGCAGTCTGGATATTGCTCTCAAAGCTGTGCTCCAAAGTTGCACCTTGATAGAACTTTCCCTTTATCCTGTATCACACAGGAATATAACACGAGCTTAGTACAACACAGAGCTTCCGTTTTAGAGAAAGGAAGACATGGATATGAATCCCATGAAAATTGATTTTTTCTCACATTCTCACTAATTTTGCACCTATATTTTGGCATTTATGAAGATCTGAATTTTATTTTTATTATAACAGCAGAATCATTACTAATAATTTTTATTATAATAGCAGAATCAGTTATTAATTATTAAGTGATTATTACCTTTTAGGAACTATACTAAATGCTTTTGCCTTATAATATCTCATCTAAATTTCCTAAATTTCAGAGATTTTGAAGGAAGTACATAAGCCTATGAGTGATCCTTTGGAAAGGCACTGACTCTCCTCAGAGTCATAGAGAACACTAAAATATACGAAAAGATCTAAAGAAATAAAAAGTAGTGAATAGATTAGACTAAACCTGGGAAAGAAGGTGCAGATTTGAATAACAGGGAATTAATGTACAATTGGAATCAGAAAAGCATAGGTTATGAGAGTACCTTGTTTGAGTGCCAATCTCAATCATCATGGTAACTGCATACTCTGGATACTGTGTGTGTGTGTGTGTGTGTGTGTGTGTGTGTGTGTGCCTGCTATTTAAGATATTTATAAAATATGTCATGTTAGATTATCAAAGACATTAGTCTTATAGTCTATATTAAAGTGTGTAACTCATTAGTTTATTTAGACATATGATTTTACATTTCAAGGTGTAATGGAATTTGGTCAGGTTTCTAGATAGTATTAAAATATGAGGGAGACGGGGCAAGATGGCAACGGCATAGGTGAACTTGTGAGATTCTCTGAACGGACCAAGACTGCAAACTGCTGAATAGACAGACTGTAAAACAGAGGGAAAAGTGAACAAAACCAGAAGACCCTCATAAGGAAGAACAGGTCATTGCAGAAGAGAAATAAAAGCAACCCCACCTTCCCTCAAAAACAGAATTGAAGAGGGGGAGGGAAAGGGGTAAAGGGAGAAAAATCTACAGAAATGAAGAAAAACCAAAAGAAGAGTATGGGTCTCTCCCAGACGCCTGGGAGAGCAGACACTGAGAAAATTGACTTTGGAATACAAACAATGAAAAGTCCCCAGAATGAAGGGTCTCAAAATGCAAATGCAGATATCAAAACAATAATGGAGAGATTAAAAAGAATTGAGGAGACACAAGAAGAAACTAGGAAGGAGCTGATATCTGAGATAACAGTAATAAAGAATACTGTGAATGAAATAAATAACAAATTGATAAGCATGGAAAGCAGAATTACCCAAGCAGAAGAAAGAATCTCAGAGCTTGAGGACCAAAATATAGAAATAACCCAAACTCTTAAAAACACAGAAAATAAGCTAAAAAAGACAGAACAAAACCTTCAAGAGATGAGTGACTACCTCAAGAGGCCTAACCTAAGAATAATCGGACTCCCTGAGGTAGAAAGAGAGACAGAGACCACACTGGAACAAACTTTCCATGAGATCATTCAAGAAAATTTCCCTTATCTAATCAGTGATACAAAAATTCAAACACAAGAGATTCAGAGAACCCCCGCAAGACAACAAATGAGAAGACCAACTCCTAGACACATAATAATTCGCCTAAATAAAGTAGGCACAAAAGAAAAAATCCTAAAGGCAGCAAGAGAAAAAGGCCAGATCACCCACCATGGAAGACCAATCAGAATAGCAGCAGATTTATCTGCAGAAACCCTGCAGGCTAGGAGAGGTTGGAGCCCTATCTTCAAAGTCC